TTTCTTTCTTTCTTTCCCTCCCTCCCTCCCTCCCTCCCTCCCTCCTACAATTAACTATATTGCAAATAGCCACGTTGACATAATGAGGGCCAGGCCAGGTATAAAAAGGACAAGAAGAATGAAATGGAAGATCATCCAAGAAAAATGAACAAGCATGGAAACCAACTCGAATTCTTCAAGACCGATCCCACTGCTTTGGGGTGTGTGTGTGATGGGCTGTGGGCAGGAGTGGCACTTTCTCTTTTTAATGCCCGCTGGCTCAAAAAAAAGACCGTTTCCTTGTCATTTGCTCTCTTACAGTGGAAGAAATCTGCATGACGGGATGGGTACCGAAGTCGGACTTAGGAAACGAGCTGATCGCTTTTGCTATGCGCAAGGAACTGCTTCTCCTGACTCTGGAAAACTTACTTGTCTTCGAACACGAGGTAGAAAAAAACGGCAGTGGGCTTGACCCCACTTCTAGCAATGACAGGGAGCCCTCGAGTTACCACCATGATTGAGCCCCATGTTTCTGTCGTTAACAGAGATGTTTGCAAAGCGGGTTTTGCCTCATTTAACAACCTTTCTTGCCACCGTTGTTAAGTGAATCACTGCAGTTACGCTAGTAACACGGTTCAGTGGCATCCCCACTGGCTTTGCTTTGTCAGAAGGACGCAAAAGGGGATCGCGTGACCCCGGGGGCACTGCAACCGTCATAAGTATGAGCGAATTGCAAAGCATCTGAATTTTGATCACGTGACTATTGAGGCTGCTGCAGCGGTCGTGAGTGTGAAAAATAGTCCTACGTCACCTCTTTCAGTGCTGTTATAACTTCAAATGGTCACTAAACAGACTGCTGTAAGCCGAGTGCCACCTGTATTTGCACCTACGTTGTATTTTTTACCAATTTTATCTTTTTTCCGGTCTCTCTCTTGATAGAAAATTCTAGTCTGTAATTGTAAAAAATGATATTGATAAGATGGATCTTTTCCATCATAATAAAGCTGAACTTATAGGAAGGCTAGGGACGTGGTGGCTCAGGGGCTAAGACGCTGAGCTTGTCGATCGGAAAGGTCGGCAGTTCGGCGGTTCGAATCCCCAGCGCCACATAACGGAGCGAGCTCCCGCTACTTCTCCCAACTTCTGCCAACCTAGCAGTTCGAAAGCAGGTAAAAAATGCAAGTAGAAAAATAGGAGCCACCTTTGGTGGGAAGGTAATAACAGTGTTCCGTGCACCTTTGGCGTTGAGCCATGCCGGCCACATGACCACGGAGACGTCTTCGGACAGCGCTGGCTCTCCGGCTTTGAAACAGAGATGAGCAGTGCCCCCTAGAGTTGGGAATGACCAGCACAGATGTACGAGGTGAATCTTTACCTTATAGTAAGGCTAACTATTAAGACCGTAGCAACTTCAAATTGCCTAGGTTCCAACTCCCATGTTTTATTGGAACAAACAACCGACACAACCACAATTTTTTGCGTTTCTTTTTGTTCCTTTCAGAGCAAGAAGCTAACAAAGCCCTCCAGGAAAAAGGAGGATCGTTGGTCCAGCGTGGTGGACATCGGCTCTGCTCAAGACTCGTATCCTCTTTAAAGATGGGGGAATGTGGCAGTGGTCCCTAGTGGTCAGACAATAAGGAAACCCTTGACGTACGACCACCCTGGAGGCCAAAATTTCTATTCCTAAACTAGATGGTGGTTAAGTGAATTTTGACCCATTTTATGATCTTTCTGGCCATGGTTGTTAAGCGGATCGCTGGCAGTTGTTAAGTTAGTCACACGGTTGTTAAGCGAATCTGGCTTCCCCATTGACTTTGCTTGTCCGAAGGTCATAAAAAGGGGAATCACGTGTCCCTGGGAAATGCANCCTTGCTGGGGGCTCAGCTGCCTTTTATTTGACTGCATTAAGTATGATTTATAATTATATGAATTATAATAATTTCATAGTTTTCATGGGCAGGTATACTGCAAAAAGTTTCTGTGCATTCCGCTCTAGGAATGAACACTCTCTCATTCCCTGAATCGCCCATTCGACACAGACTTGGCCGCTCTAGGAACAAAGCCTCTCCCTCCACGGAGTCAGGCTCGGTCGCCACGCCCACTCCGGAAGGCGCCTACTCACAAGCCGAAGCCTCTGAGGGCGTGGCTCCCGCCCACCTTTATCTGATTGGGTATCAGAGCGCGGGGCGGGGCCGTAAATAGTCAAATGGACGCGCGGGTTTTTTTTTCTTTCGGGATTTTTTTTTCCGGTAGTGGCGCGAAAAGGAAGCGGTGATGGGGTCGGGGATTATGGATGCTGTAGTGGCCGATCTCAAGGTCTTCGGGCTGGATTTCGCGGAGGGGGAAGACCAGGACGCTATTGCCGAGAAATGTAAGGCAAAGGCAAAAGGGGAAGGGTGGGGGGGAAAGGAGATAAAGGGCAGTGGGTTAATCCGGGCGCTAGTCCTCATGAAATATTGGGATAGGGGCGTGGTTTAAGCATCCAAGGATTGGGGGGCAATTAATAATACAAAGATAGAACAGTGAAATGAATTCAGCTCAGAAAACTGTGAGCCCAAACAGAGAAAACAACCCAAACTCTAGATACTACAGTCCATTGTTATCCCGTTTTATGGATTTGTTTATGTGTGAAATGTAGACACCTTATTAAGAAATTCAGGCAAGGATTAGAACTTGGCTCTTCGAGTCCACCTTGAATCCCGCACACAATCTATCTCCCTCCCTCCTTTCTTTCTTTCTTTCTTTCTTTCTTTCTTTCTTTCTTTCTTTCTTTCTTTCTTTCTTTCTTTCTTTCTTTCTTTCTTTCTTTNTTGGACTAGAAGACCTCCAAGGTCCCTTCCAGCTCCATTCTGATTGTTTTATTGATTGAAATGGTCTGGGATCTTCTTCTTGAGCAGGGGGTTGGACTAGAAGACCTCCAAGGTCCCTTCCAGCTCTATTCTGATTGATTTATTGATTGAAATGGTCTGGGATCTCCTGCTTGAGCAGGGGGTTGGACTAGAAGACCTCAAAGGTCCCTTCCGGCTCTTTTCTGATTGAATTAGGTTTTGATAGCCTTTGTCTGCCTGGTTTCAGTCTTAATTTTTGCACTGAGCAGGATGTGCTTCTGGGAAAACTTGGCCTCTGCCATGAATTTGCCTTGTGGAAGTTCTTGGTCAACGGGATATTCCCAGTGGGGTCCTGTGACTTGGTCATCACAGAAACGCTTTTCGACGCCGTCCCGGTGAGGATCTATCAGTGCAAAACATCAAATCCTGAGAAGAGACAAGGACTGGTGTGGCTTCACGGAGGAGTGGGCATTTCTGGAAGCTTCCGTAAGTTCTCCAAACACAGGCGGTCCTCAACTTACGACGACTCATTCAGTGACCGTTCAAAGTCACAACGTGGGGACTTAGGAATTGTCCTTCACCCTTACGACCTCTCCCGCATCCCCGAGATCACACACACAGAAAGGGGGACTTAGGGCCGTTGTTCACACTTACGACTCTTCCCAGTGCAAACACTTAGTAACCTGACTTGTACTTATGACGACTGCGGCGTTCTGGGATGATTTTTTTAAATATAGATTTTATCTGCTATCGATTATTTAAATTCTAGAATTTTCAACTGGATATTTCTACACATATTTCTATTTTTTTTTCCGGTCTCTGGTCTTTGACTGTAATAAACTCGATTTTGTTTTTATTTGATTGAAATGTTTGGCCTAAGAGAGAAATGGGAAAAATTGATATATTTATATTATTATTTATATTATTTATATTATTTATATTATTTATATTATTTATATTATTTATATTATTTATATTATTTAT